CCACTGCTGGGCGTCCCATGCAATGAGTATTGAGGATCTGACACATCGCTCATCCTAAAATCCCGAACACTGCGCATACCATAAGGGCCTTAATAATTAGAACAGGGAGTTGGGGTATACTATCCTAGCCTATGCCTACAATAAAGAACCCCACATTGGTATAGGCATAAGGCCCCTATAGCAGCACTTGCAACCCATGAGCGTCGGCGTCGTGGTGTTTTGGGCCCACGGAATTACGGCGTTGTTTCAAACACTCCCCGGCAACGCTCTGCACATGGAGACATAGATCTGACGCGAAAGGCGAGGGCGTACCATGAAGCGAGGTGCATTGTAAGTAGCCTAACTCATCATCAGGCTTTCAGTTAACAAGAACAACCACGTTTAGCAGTAGTTTATAAAGGGCTTAGGGGTTGAGTAATTTGGGGGCTTACGGACTTGAAGTAGAGAAGTTTAGAGGGTCTACGGGTTTGGGCGTGCAGGTATTTGGCAGTGTACGAGTTTAGAAGGTGTTGGGATCTGGGAGGTCTAGGCTTCAAGGATGCTTAAGGCTTAAGGGGTTGAGAATTTCAATGTTTTGAAGCCTTGGGCATACAGGGCGGTTGGGTCTTCGTGGTCATGTAAGGGCGCGCCTGATCACGTCGTCACGCTTCGCCCTGCAGGCCTCAACTGATCTGTGCTTGGGGTTTAAAGTTCAAGGGTTTTGGTTCGGGGTCAACTGTTTGGGGTTTAGACTTGAGGGTGTTCAGTTCAGGAATTAGGGATGCAGGCTTGGCAATAAGAATAGTGACAATCACCAAAAATGACACCAGCCGCAAGACTCACTGTCGTGAAAAAGATCATTTAGATAAACTTCGCCAATGTAGAAGCCCTAGATGTTGGAAATGTGATAGCACAGTTGTACATGGACCATTCATTGTCTATAAGGGGTTACCTACGTAATGTGGTAAGGACTAGAAACATCATAGCATACTTGTGTAGGGACTATAGGCTACAAGGGGGATACTGTTAGCAAGTATTCCGACCTCTACAGTATACCACCAACACTGCTACTGATGTACGTGGGCTCTCCCCCGGGCTTCACTGGGTTCTTGTTTGGGAACTTCACTTATGATACCATCACACGGAAACCATATCATTCTCCATGAAGCCCCATTATGGTAACTTAAACCATAAGCTCCTTAACGAGAGCCCAGTTAAGGGTGGAGGGGTTTGGGACCTGAAGTTGAGGGTGGCTACAGTAAGGTCCCTTGCTGTTGTCTAGTGCTCACGTCGATGGGTGGTTGTCAAAATTAGGGTCCCTTTTTGGGTCCTTGTTATAATACGGCACCTAATATTTACGGTGCCCAAAAAGGGACCATAATTTTGACAACCACCCAGACGGAAGCGTCTCTTTGAAACGAATCCTGTTGGAATTCGAGGCGGAAGCGTTGATTGGCAAGCTCGTCCGAGACCGATGGACCCCTTACAAAGCCTGGATGGGCGTACCGGGAAATTACTGTCTGTGCAAACCTCAAGGCAAGAAAATGTTCGGAAGCAACCCCTTTCATCCTAGATCTAGCCAAGGAGCAGCCCTGTGCAAGAGGGATGCATTCCATCCAGATGTTTCAAGATGAGAACACTCATGTTGCGATGATGTCATCGTGACGGGCTCAGGGGTGTAATACAGGTGCCTTTATAATTTGACAAGGCGCTGTGGCACATTGCTCTAGCAATAGCATTGGTAATTTTTCGGGCCCCTACATTAGTGGTCTCCTCTGGGTCTCTGGCGTGATGCAGTGGTGTGAGTCCACCTTTGGCATCCTGATCGCTTGGGGCAAGAAATCGCCGTGGCTTGAAGTTCAAAACCCTGAATCCTTAACCACGGCCCCTAAACCCTAAGCCCTAATGTCGGATGTAGGGTTTTTGGCGAAGGGAACGAGTTTAAGGTTTAGCTGGGCGTAGGGTATGGAATTAAGTAGGGTGGTTTAGTTGGGTGTCGGATTTCCGGGCTTTCCGATGGTCGGTTCACAAGATCCGCGGTCGTAATACGCGGGGTTGTATGCACCGATGCCAAGGCTTGAAATATCTACAACCTTGTTTCTGCCCTCCTTGCCTTGCCTTCATAAGTATGATAGGATTCTGGCGTGTACTTTTGGGTAACAAACATACGGACTACGAGGGGATACCATTACGGATCGCGGATGACGAAGTATTCAGGTCCCTTCAGTACCAGAGTGGTGGGGTCTTCTTACCTTTGGTTAGTAGGGAATGGAGGAATGGGGTAGAATCATAACTACTAACACTACCATTCTTCCATTCCCTACTAACCAAAGGTAAGTCTTGGGAGCTTGATTTCGGGCCACTTCTACCCCAACGCCTCACTGCGCCAGACGCAGAAAAGACGAGTCTGAGCTTCTGAGGCCTCAAGCCCTAAAACCCCCTGAACCCGAACTCCCGCACCGAACTTGGAGGGTGGGGGACTTACAGTAGAAGCCAGAAAATTGGAATATCATTATCGTTACCCCTTTAAGGTAGATTATAGGGGATCCTACCATTAATCCATATTCCAACTTTCTGGAGTTCCCTGTAGTAAGTATGTAGTAAGTAGACTTATAAGTACCCTAAAAAGGACCCTAATGGCGGCTATGGTACTTATAAGTCCCTAAAATAACCAATGATAAAGTCCCCCGACCCTCCAAGAAATAAACCCTAAACCCTGAATCCAAAGCCCTTAGACCGTAACCCTGAATCCTAAAACTTTCCACCCTAACTCACCCCAAACCCCAACATCTACTGAACTACGGCATAGGCCTAAACCCTAAAGCCTAACCGTGAATCCCAAAGTGAAGGGCTTAGGTTCTAAAGATATCTAGAGGGCTCAGGGCTGAAGGCTCCGGAGCGAAAGGATTCAGGGTGTAGTGCTTATAGACCCTCTCAAGAAGGCCCCTTTAAGAGAGCCAGGTGTGGGTTGAGACGGGCCCCTCCCGGAAATAGTAACAAAAAGGATTATATTAGGGCCCTGTTATATTCCTATTATACCACTATTACAGAGTGGGGGCCCCTTCTAAGGTCTCCCTACTTCTCCCCGGGAGTTGAGCAGCCCGGAATCACGTCACATGAAGACTGAGACGGCAGAAGCGACCAGGGCGGAAGGAGCAGTAGGCACAGCCGCAAACTCTTCTTAACCGTCTTGTAACCATAACGACGGCGGCCCTTGTGACAGGGACACATTGGCAACAACACAATACAATAGCAAAATACACTTAAAACCAGTATCACTACGTAATGGACATGACAATGACACCGGCTATCCCTACTGCGATTGCAATTGGCGTCGTAAATCAACTTTCCCTCATGTACATCATGCTCGCATCAGCGGACTTTGGCAATCTGTAATATGTGGGCCTTAATAATTAGAACAGGGTTTTGGGCATTATACTCTAAACATAATAAGGAACCCCCAAAATAGTATAGGTAATTCTTTAGGCCCCTATGTTATGGTACCCTTATAGATCCCTTATAGTAGCCCGTCGAAGGGACCCCTTTAAAGGAACCCTTAGTAAAGCTGCCCTCCCCCCAACATCTAAGGTTTGCTGTCGGCCACACGTCGGACCCCTGCTAGGAGTGTTGGATCCCTCATGTGATTTAAGGAATACTCCTTAATTAAGGGATATTAGAGAAACCCTATAGATCCCTTAAAGGAGCCCTAGGTATGTTCCTCAATTAAGGGATATTAGACTCCCCTAAACCCTATAGATCCCTTAAAGGAGCCCTAGGTATGTTCCTTAATCTAGGGATATTAGACTCCCCTAAACCCTAAACCCTATAGATCCCTTAAAGGAGCCCTAGGTATGTTCCTTAATTAAGGGATATTGGAGTCTCTGGGCAAGTTCGGCGGGGTGCTCTGGATTGTTCTGGGCTTCGCTGCGATGCTTCTGAATAGGGCTTAGGGGTTTAGGGGCGCAGGGTTTAGGGGTTTAGGGGGCGCAGGGTTTAGGGGTTTAGGGATTTAGGGGTGAAGGGTTTAGGGATTCAGGGTTTAGGGTGTCTAATGCTAAAACTTAGGAGTTACCATTGCTAGATTGTTCTACTCCGTTGCTGTTTTGTTGAAGGAACCGAAGTGGTTGAGGGCAGAGGTAGGGGGCTTGTGAAAAACAGTGTAAGCTCCACGAACAAGTCGTTGGTTCTGGGTTTGGGAATTAGGATTAGGGGGACCCTCGGGGACGTAGACCCTCTCAATAAGGCCCCTTTTAAGAGAGCCAGAAGTAGGGTTCGGAAGGGGTACCTTTTAAGGGGTCTCCCTCATCATGCTACCCAGGGCTTAAGCTTTGAAAGGCCCATGCAAACTGTTCCGCGGTCTGCATGGCGCACGTCTGCAACTGCTGGTCAAGATGACAGCCCCTAGACCCTAACCCAGAGCCTCCAAAACCCCTTAATTAGGGAATATACCTTAAATCATATACGGGATCCTATTATAATTTAAGGTATATTCCTTAATTAAGGGGTTTTGGAGGCTCTGGGAAACCGGCCCAAGCATGTCACAGGCCCCTAGACCCTAAACCCTACCTGGACCCTACGGAACCTGCCTTTTTATGGTTCCCTAATATGATTTCTTTATACAAGTCCTTAAAAGGTAAGTTACTTGGGGTTCAGGTAAACCCTAAACAGACCATGAACCCTAAACCCTAAAGCGGCCCAAGCGGATGAAAGCCCGTCAAGGCATCCCCCAGGCCGCCAGACAATGCGAAATCTCTCCTCACCTTTTCGCAGACTCCCCTGTGTAAAGAGGTCGGTGAAACTGGCCAAAGCTTCTTAAAAAGTATAGTATGGCAACAGTATAGTATAGTAGAGTAGAGTTTGGTATAGTGTAGTAAAGTTGACTATAGTATAGCATGGGAGATATGTATCTGGTGAAACGATGGCACACCCCCGATGACAGGCCCAGCCACCTTGCGGGATATGGAAAGTGCCCTCATTGGAGTCACGGCTCGTAAACCAACCATCTTACTGCTTCAGCCCATTCACGTTCTCCCATCCTCAGCTTGCTGCGGAGGCACCGGAGGCAACTGCTGCGGAAGCGACGGCTGTTGTGGCAACTGCTGTGGAGGAGCTCTGGTGAACAAGCGGAAGTGAATCGCCGTCAAGATCGCAATCATAGCTAGAATCCACGCAATCGATAACCAAAGACTTGTCAAAGCCACAAGCATCAGCTCTCCACCCACCCATGACCAGCCCAGAAAGCCCATGAGATACAAAAGAAAAGACACGGCAAAGTCCAATAGGCGGTTGGACGTTGCAGCAGCGAAGCGCTCTGTCAATCTCCAGGATATTTTCAACCCGAGCATAAACCAGAGACATATATAGCCAATGTCATGAGCCATCAAATGTGGCAGCTGTGGCGACAGCGGCACGCGTGCTATGATCACCCCCGTCTTGGTGTCAAGCGATAAGCTGACGAAAGCTAAAACCATGAGTAGGCAATAGGACAAAGGAATGTCTGCCCCGGACTCAAGAAGCTCTTGCTGAAGTGGCCCTCTGACATACTCAACGAATGCTTCCTCACTCCCATACCATTGCTTGATTGAGGCAAGGATAAACTCCCTGTCAGACGCCATGCGACACTTGGCATCCTCCAAACGGAAATGCTGCAGGTGCTGGAACAGCTCGCGCTTCTCCCGCATGTGCTTGCGGTTCCGGTGGCATATGAATATGAAGGGAGAACTGGCTACCAAATAGGAGATTCCACCCCACGGCAAGTCCACATTCAGCCAGACGGCTGTGATGCACCCCGCTATATGGTAACCTAGTAGCCACCACAAGGCTTGAATTTCCACAAAGAGCGGCCGAACCACAACTTTGCCCTCTGGGTTTGCTTTTCGAAAGGCGGCAATTTCGAAGACACACCACAGGCGATCCTGGATTGTGCATAATGTCGGGGCCTTAATAGTTAGAATTAATATGGTTCCTTGAAAGGGGTGTATAAGGGCTACTATAGGGGCTATCGAAATGGCGAAAGATGTATAGAAATAGTTACCACTACAGGACCATCAGCGAAAGTCACCAAAAAACTCGCAAAGTGCCACCTAGTATCTAAGTATGGAGGACTCCATAGAATGTGCATCTCTCGGGAAGCCGCCAAAAATCCCCCGAGGCCGTAGACCCCCTTCCTCTGTAGCTCGAGATCTGCTTGATGAATGCAAGCCACATCCAGGAAGCAACACGGATCAGCCCTCAAACGCAGATAAGGAGAGATGGCAAGGCCAATCGGCATGGCCACAACAGTGAAGAGAGTGACCCAAACCCCACGAGCGACCTGATACTCAGCCGCCAGGAAATGCTCTGGGCGGTGAAAGGGCAGTGGCAAGACTTCAAGCACAGAAAACAACACTGCTGCCGCAGCTGCAAGAAGATAGACTAGCAGTATCACGGGCCAACCGCTGTGCAGGAGAAGAGCAAGCGACTTCACTCTACCCGAAGTCCGCCAAGTATGGGAAATGAAGATGTCCAGCCTCTCGACTCGCCCAGACTTCTGCCACAGTGAAGCACGATCCGACTCCTTCAGATCTGCAGGAGAGGTGCGCCAAAGCCTCCCCAAGTTCCGCAATGTCTTGGCGAGCGATATGCCCCTCAACAGGTCCGCCTCTATCGTCAACGCAGATGTGGTGGTCATGTGACGGAAGTCGATGGACATGTTGCTCAACTGAATGCCACCGTCGGCATCCTTTCCTTCTTCACTTCCCCCCTCAGACACTTGATGTTGCAGAGACGTTACATTTTCCACCTGCACGTCTTCCTGACCAGCGCAGCAAGATGGCTGCGAGCCCATGGCAACGACCGGAGCGCCTGAGCCAAAGCAACTCCAAAGCCAATTCAGAACAAGCGATCTTCGAAAGGACAATCTGACAAGCACAGGGACAGCGAAGCACTGCACTGAACTGGACCCTGAATCCCAAACCCCATCCTTGGCGTCGATGGCTGCTCCGGCAGCTAAGACTTTGTGTACAAGCTCCATGTCTCCCATTCGTGCAGCCTGGACAGTTAAGCCATTTCGAGATAGTTAGGGAAGCTAACCAATGGTTTTGGGGGTTCCCTTGGCTCTTTAGCTCATTACTTAATAGGGATTATCATCATCCCTGGCTCCTTAGCTCCCATAATATCAATGGTTAGGAAGCGTGGTCGCTTCTCTGCAGCTTAGCCTTTTTGGTCTCAGCTTACCTTTTCGGGCCTCAGCCTGTGCATAGACAAGCCTTCAGACATCACTGCCATAGTGTGCCCTGAGAACTTCATGGCCAGGCATCAAATACTAGTAAACATGATAGAAGAAGTAAATGAACAAGCCAAACTTCGTTCATAATCATTTGTACTAAATATGACGAAACCAATGGCAATAAACACTATATCAATACAGCCTTTTCCGTAAGTGGCCTGGTAATTCGAAAGCACACGTGCCGACAGGGAAAATAGTAGTAAAGTTATGGAGCCGAACTGTATAGGAAATGTGTTGGAACCTATTGAAGCTTCGACTTTACCCGCCCGAAAACCCCCAACCCCAAACCCTACACTTCACCCCCTGAACCCTAAAATGCAAAACCCACTCTTGAAATCCTGCACGCACATCCTAAACCCTGAACCCCGCTAAAACCCCAAATATCTGCATAAAGAAGCCAACCACCGTTCACGAAGAGCGCTTAAATCTCTGACACAGCCGTGCAGCACACCAACAAACCACAACCAAGACAACCCCAAAAACTTAACCCTATAAACCCTAAACCCCCTAACCCCTAAACCCTAAACCTCTAAACCCCTAAACCCCTAAACCCCTAAACCCCTTAACCTTAAGCCCTAAACCCTGGGCTCTAAACTAAGACAACCCCAAAACGCCCGAACTCCGAAACCCGCGCTCTGCCTCGTGGAGAACCGTATGTCCCTCTGGCCACTGCCTCGCGGTGGCAAATCGGTTTAGGGTTCTGGGTGTAGGGCTCTGGGTTTAGGGTTTAGGATTCTGGATTGAGGGTTTAGGGTTCTGGGTTTAGGGTTTAGGATTCTGGGTTTATGGTTTAGGGTTCTGGGTTTAGGGTTTAGGGCTTAGGGTTTAGGGTTCTGGGTTTCGGGCTTAGGTTCTCTGTCTGTGGGGCTTCCATGTGGCTATGTAGCATGCGACTAAGTTTATTCTAGCACCCGTAAGCAGCTTACGTAGTTGTCAAGGTGTTGAAACGTTGTTCACACGCGTTATTCCGTTCTTTCTGTGCATTTTCTGGGTTCGAGATGCTTGCATAAGGCTTAGTACGAGCTTTGCGTGAGTGATCGTGCGTTTTGTGTTTAGATATCAGAGCTTCTCATGCCTTTGCAAGGATACGATCAAAGGTTTGGGGTACAGTAGGAAGCCACATGACCGTTGTGAGTTCCCTATCTGCTTGGGCGAAGGGGTCGGTCAGGGTTCCGGTGTTTAGGGCTTAGGTTAGGTACTGCCCCCATACAGTAAGGGTCTATAATAGGGCTACCATGAAGGTCCTACTATATCTATACTATGAATATATATATATATATATATATATATATATATCTATCAACTATTACTGAGTGGGGGCCGTACCCAAGGTTTAGGGTTTAGGGTTCAGGGGTCTGTTTCTTTCCGTTGCAATGTTGCTACACAACATAAAGCAGGGAATTTGATGACCAGTAGCAAAATATCCCTAAACCCCAAACCCTAAACCCTAAACCCTAACAAAAAAACCCTAAACCCAAAACCGTAACAAAAAAACCCTAAACCCAAGACCCTAACTACTGTGTTACGAACAGAGCCCCCGAACCCTACCATTACATAGAGATCCGAAGGCGGAGTGGGCTGTTAATGTGGGAGTTTCCGAAAATTGGGGGTATCTTATTGTGGGGTCCTTGTAATAAGGATCCTACTATTTAGGGTACTATATTAGGGTCCCCTGTTTGCGGAAACCCGCATGTAGGTCCTACGATATACCGATATTGGTGAGTCCTTGGAGAGCATGCACTACAAACTGTTCAGGGCTTAGGGCATGGGGTTTTTGTGGGATGTTGCCGTCTCGCAATGAGTGATCCGCACAGCGGTTTTCCGCTGGGTCTCCGACTTTAGGGTTTATAAGTTCTCGGTTGTGACAGTATGTCCATTCCGTAGTGGGTTGCTGTACCCAAAAACCGGAAAATGTTACTATGGGGGCTTAAATTGCCAATATTGTGGGACTATTGTGGGGGTTCCTTATTCTGATAATCATAGTATAATATACCCCCAAAACCCTATTCTAATTATTAAGGCCCTATATTACCCAAATGTGAGAGGGTTTAGGTGTCCTAGGATACCCAGTAACCTAAGAATATAAAGGCCTCTCTTTTTGGTATTGGGTAACTTTATAAGGAACCTAGGACTACAAAAAGGGAATACGGGTACTACTGGGCATCCCAGTTTAGGTGTCAGCCACCATCCAGGCGAGAGGCAGGTTGGACACGTTCACGTCCGCCCCGGCCTGAAGCAACTTGCTTGCACTTACCCTGAACCCTTGGGGCTTTAGGGGTTTAGGGTTTAAGGTTTAGGGTTTATAAACTCTAAACCCTTAGGGCTTTAGGGGTTTAGGGTTTAGGGTTTAGGGTCTAAGGTTTATAAACTCTGAACCCCGAATCCCCTCCACTGCGAAATCCTCAAGTCTAAACCCCTAAACCCTGAACTCCGGTTTTTTTTGTTTTTAAGGGCCCTTTTTCCGTCTGCACTCCGCGTCTAGAAAGCCCCGTTTAGGGTTTAGGGTTTAGTCCGAGGGGTGAGGATGATGTTCCTTCCGGGCCTCGAAAAAGTGTCGCCTTGATTCTTAGCGCCCCCCCAACCCTTTGGACTAAGTTCTCGGCTCCCTAAACAGTTCCCCAAGCGGTTTCTGATGTATTTGCGGCTTGGCTTTTGCTTAGGACTCAGAAGCAAAAAAAGACTGCAGATAAGCACTTAGGGTTAAGCTCCTAATTTTTCGGGCTTAGGCTCAAATTCCAAGGGTGCTTTGTGCTAAGTTCCTCTACTTGACTTTGGGGCAGGCCCCAAACCCGAAGCCACCCCCGTACGCGCAGAACATCGAAAGCCCCCACGACCAAAACCCGACAACACCGCACCCCAAAGCAACACAAGGCCGCAGACAAACCTTCCGAAACCCAAGTTTCGGAGCCTCCTATACCCCAAAAGCTTTCGGATTTGGGGAAGCCCTAGACCCCATTTCCACACTGTCCTGCTTTGTTGAAGGTTAATACTCTGCTGTCCAGTATCTTGCATGATTTTCCTAAGCCCCCAAACCCTGAAACCCTAAACCCTATGCCCTCAGCCCAAACCATAGGCCCTTAACCCAGAGCTTCGCGCGTCCAGCACACCCGGCCTCGAGCAGAAAGTCTAATGTTTCCTTGCCCCTTGGCCAGCAGATGTGTTTGGTCGGCCCTAAGCCCTCAACCCTTAGCCTTGGGCTAGGATTCGATTCTCGGGCTCTTGCCGTTCTTGGCTTTCTGGCTGCCATTGTTGGAGCGATTTCTGTGAATGTTGTTGCTTTCTCAAGTTTTTTCTTTTTAGCTACTTTTATGATACAACGCCTTGTACGTACTTCTATAACCCCACTTATGCAAGGATACTCCGACTATTCGTACTTGATCTTTTGTCTACAACATAGGTTCTGGAGTCCGAACAGCTCTTGCATTCAGGCTTACTAAGTACTATTGAGTGGGCCCAGATACAGAACTCTGAAATCCTAAATCCAAAGCCCATACCCCGAACACGCTTATGAAACACTTCTACAAACCTTCGTACAGACGTGTGGAACATGTCCAAACCCTTATGATACAGTGGCACTTGGGAGTCTGCCAAGCTTTGCAAGCTTCAGGGACGCCTAGCTTAAGGACTTCAGGCTGAGACGCGATGAAGAGTTCAGGGAGGCATAAATGGGAGTTTCCGAAAAGTAAGGGTACCTTATTTTGGGGTCCTTGTATTAAGGATCCTACTATTTAGGGTACCTAGGTTCGGGGGTTTCGGGCCTAGCACAAAGAGGGCTAAGGGCTTCGGAGGGCGGGGGGGGTTGGCGTCTAGTGTAAAGGCCTCTTGAGTCAGGGTTTAGGGTTTAGGGCTTGAGGGGTTTAGGGTTTAGGGTTTGAGGGGTTTAGGGTTTAGGGTTTGAGGGTTTGAGGGGTTTGGGGTTTAGAGTTTGAGGGGCTTAGAGTCTTGGGTTTCGGGATGCACATAATCATGACTCCAAGCCCGAAGCTAAACCGAACTTTAAGCCAAACCCTAGATCCCAATCCCTGAACCCTGAACCGAAACCCGAAAGCCACAATCCCTGGAACCCTAAACCCTAATGAAACCCGAGAAGACGCTTCAGAAGACTCTTGTTAAGAGCGCTTTGGAACCCTTACAGAATCCACTACTCCCGAACCTATAGAACCCTGCTAGAACCCTGAGAAGACCCTTCCTAACAGCTTTTGGAATCCTTGCATTCCTTTCTCCTCAGCGCCTGGCACCAGCGAAAGGTTTTCTGCCTTTCGCGGGCACCCAAACCGAGCTCGAGCTTTATGAAGGCTCAGCGATTTTCAGGTTTGGTGGGTTCGGTGCTCGCAGTCGGGTTCGGTGTTCAGGGCGTTAAGGGGTCTGAACCCCCATGACGAACCTACTTGGAGGTTCAGGGGTAGTTACAAGTGGGGGTATAAGTCCCCGAATATGGGTTATAAGTAGAGTTACCCTACTTAAAGCCTTACTCATAACTACCCATGAACCTCCAAGTAGGCCCGGCCCAGCGATCGAAACCAATGCCACGGCAGAGAAAGAGTGCCCTCTCGGGTGTAGGCTGTTCGGCTTAGAGTTTAGGGTTGAGGGGCTTGGGGTTTAGGGTTTGGAGGTTCAGGGTTTAGGAGTTTGGGGGTTGGAGCTGGTGGTCATCTACGAGCATGAGCGTTTGGGGGCCTAGGGCTTTGGGTTTAGGCAGGCTAACCCTAAACCCTCAACCGCCCAACACCCCTTAATTAAGGAATATAGCTTAAATCACGATATGAATTCCCTTATACTTTAAGGTATATTCCTTAATTAAAGGGTATTGGGCTCTCTATGCACGGCCCTGCAAACAAAGGAGCAAATCTGGAGCTCAAGAAGTAGGAGTCCCTACGCAAGTAGACTACTTCATCCCCACAGAAAAGCGTTGATGCTACACATCCCTGCCAAAGCCCTAGTAGCCCCTGTACAACCTATCCAAGTCTATTAAATCCTAGTCTCAGCATGAAGGACCCTTCGCTGAGCCCTTGAGCCTCATGTAGGGGCCTTAGTTACATTAAGAAAGCTTTGGGCCCTAATCTATTGTACTTATGGTAGGGAACCGAAGGAATAGCATTCCAGTTCAAACCCCAAAACCCCTGCTAAACCCTGAACCCTCAACCCTAAACCCCCATATGAAACCGCAAGCACCACCCTCAAATGCCCAGCTGAAGGTGGCACTGGCAAGGATTCGAAATTTCGAAAAGGGTACAAAAGAGAGTCTGAAGTAATCCTGGAAGGTTACGATACGGGTTCTGCCAGGGTTTTAAGGGTTTTGAGGTTTTCAGGCTTGAGGCTTTCAGGCTTACGGCTTTCAGGTTTTGGGATCGAGGGTTGCGACTTCTTGTCTTGTATATTCCGAGGCGCGCGGTTCAGAGTCTAAGGTGAGGCAAGTGAGACTTTTGGCGCTGAGGATTCAGGGCTTTAGGGTTTTAGGGTTTAGGGCTTTAGGGCTTTAGGGCTTTAGGGCTTTAGGGGTTTAGGGTTTAGGGTTTAGGGCTTTAGGGTTCAGGGCATAGTATAGGATTTATGGTTTTAGGGCTTACGGGTATTTAGCCCCATACCTGGGCTTCCAAGCGCAAACCCATGACTGACTTAGGCCCAGATCATTCGGTTTTTGTTGCATTGCTCGTCCTGGCGACAAGAAGCCTTAACCCCCATGCAAAGCCCAAACAAACCATCAAGCCTCAAAATCAAGCCTTAAACCTCCAAAAACGACCCCAAAATCGCGACTCTCTCCTCCTAAACCCTAGAATCCCTGGAACCGAATACCCTAAAAGCCTAAAAACAGCCCTGAAGCCCGGAACTCCTGCAGTCTAAACTCCGACTATGCCAACACTACCTTTCTGGGAATCCGAGATTCTCCTCGGTGAGGAGGAGAGGGGGAAGAATCCCCTGGTATATTTTTTGGGGATACAAAGACCTCTAGACCCTGCACCCCAGCAAGGGATTCGAACCCCTAAACTCCAAACCCTAAACCCTAAACCCTAAACCCTAAACCCTAAACTCCAAACCCTAAACCCTAAACCGTCTGCCTTGAGCGCGACGCCGTCGTCGCTGCCCTCGAGCAGCACGGGATATCTCTCCATCCTCGCGGCTGTACACTGCCATAAAGTACTATACTTTAAAAAATTTGTCGTTTTACTTTATGGCAGTGTACAGCCGCGAGGATGGAGAGATATCCCGTGCTGCTCGAGGGCAGCGACGACGGCGTCGCGCTCAAGGCAGACGGTTTAGGGTTTAGGGTTTGGAGTTTAGGGTTTAGGGTTTAGGGTTTAGGGTTTAGGGTTTGGAGTTTAGGGGTTCGAATCCCTTGCTGGGGTGCAGGGTCTAGAGGTCTTTGTATCCCCAAAAAATATACCAGGGGATTCTTCCCCCTCTCCTCCTCACCGAGGAGAATCTCGGATTCCCAGAAAGGTAGTGTTGGCATAGTCGGAGTTTAGACTGCAGGAGTTCCGGGCTTCAGGGCTGTTTTTAGGCTTTTAGGGTATTCGGTTCCAGGGATTCTAGGGTTTAGGAGGAGAGAGTCGCGATTTTGGGGTCGTTTTTGGAGGTTTAAGGCTTGATTTTGAGGCTTGATGGTTTGTTTGGGCTTTGCATGGGGGTTAAGGCTTCTTGTCGCCAGGACGAGCAATGCAACAAAAACCGAATGATCTGGGCCTAAGTCAGTCATGGGTTTGCGCTTGGAAGCCCAGGTATGGGGCTAAATACCCGTAAGCCCTAAAACCATAAATCCTATACTATGCCCTGAACCCTAAAGCCCTAAACCCTAAACCCTAAACCCCTAAAGCCCTAAAGCCCTAAAGCCCTAAAGCCCTAAACCCTAAAACCCTAAAGCCCTGAATCCTCAGCGCCAAAAGTCTCACTTGCCTCACCTTAGACTCTGAACCGCGCGCCTCGGAATATACAAGACAAGAAGTCGCAACCCTCGATCCCAAAACCTGAAAGCCGTAAGCCTGAAAGCCTCAAGCCTGAAAACCTCAAAACCCTTAAAACCCTGGCAGAACCCGTATCGTAACCTTCCAGGATTACTTCAGACTCTCTTTTGTACCCTTTTCGAAATTTCGAATCCTTGCCAGTGCCACCTTCAGCTGGGCATTTGAGGGTGGTGCTTGCGGTTTCATATGGGGGTTTAGGGTTGAGGGTTCAGGGTTTAGCAGGGGTTTTGGGGTTTGAACTGGAATGCTATTCCTTCGGTTCCCTACCATAAGTACAATAGATTAGGGCCCAAAGCTTTCTTAATGTAACTAAGGCCCCTACATGAGGCTCAAGGGCTCAGCGAAGGGTCCTTCATGCTGAGACTAGGATTTAATAGACTTGGATAGGTTGTACAGGGGCTACTAGGGCTTTGGCAGGGATGTGTAGCATCAACGCTTTTCTGTGGGGATGAAGTAGTCTACTTGCGTAGGGACTCCTACTTCTTGAGCTCCAGATTTGCTCCTTTGTTTGCAGGGCCGTGCATAGAGAGCCCAATACCCTTTAATTAAGGAATATACCTTAAAGTATAAGGGAATTCATATCGTGATTTAAGCTATATTCCTTAATTAAGGGGTGTTGGGCGGTTGAGGGTTTAGGGTTAGCCTGCCTAAACCCAAAGCCCTAGGCCCCCAAACGCTCATGCTCGTAGATGACCACCAGCTCCAACCCCCAAACTCCTAAACCCTGAACCTCCAAACCCTAAACCCCAAGCCCCTCAACCCTAAACTCTAAGCCGAACAGCCTACACCCGAGAGGGCACTCTTTCTCTGCCGTGGCATTGGTTTCGATCGCTGGGCCGGGCCTACTTGGAGGTTCATGGGTAGTTATGAGTAAGGCTTTAAGTAGGGTAACTCTACTTATAACCCATATTCGGGGACTTATACCCCCACTTGTAACTACCCCTGAACCTCCAAGTAGGTTCGTCATGGGGGTTCAGACCCCTTAACGCCCTGAACACCGAACCCGACTGCGAGCACCGAACCCACCAAACCTGAAAATCGCTGAGCCTTCATAAAGCTCGAGCTCGGTTTGGGTGCCCGCGAAAGGCAGAAAACCTTTCGCTGGTGCCAGGCGCTGAGGAGAAAGGAATGCAAGGATTCCAAAAGCTGTTAGGAAGGGTCTTCTCAGGGTTCTAGCAGGGTTCTATAGGTTCGGGAGTAGTGGATTCTGTAAGGGTTCCAAAGCGCTCTTAACAAGAGTCTTCTGAAGCGTCTTCTCGGGTTTCATTAGGGTTTAGGGTTCCAGGGATTGTGGCTTTCGGGTTTCGGTTCAGGGTTCAGGGATTGGGATCTAGGGTTTGGCTTAAAGTTCGGTTTAGCTTCGGGCTTGGAGTCATGATTATGTGCATCCCGAAACCCAAGACTCTAAGCCCCTCAAACTCTAAACCCCAAACCCCTCAAACCCTCAAACCCTAAACCCTAAACCCCTCAAACCCTAAACCCTAAACCCCTCAAGCCCTAAACCCTAAACCCTGACTCAAGAGGCCTTTACACTAGACGCCAACCCCCCCCGCCCTCCGAAGCCCTTAGCCCTCTTTGTGCTAGGCCCGAAACCCCCGAACCTAGGTACCCTAAATAGTAGGATCCTTAATACAAGGACCCCAAAATAAGGTACCCTTACTTTTCGGAAACTCCCATTTATGCCTCCCTGAACTCTTCATCGCGTCTCAGCCTGAAGTCCTTAAGCTAGGCGTCCCTGAAGCTTGCAAAGCTTGGCAGACTCCCAAGTGCCACTGTATCATAAGGGTTTGGACATGTTCCACACGTCTGTACGAAGGTTTGTAGAAGTGTTTCATAAGCGTGTTCGGGGTATGGGCTTTGGATTTAGGATTTCAGAGTTCTGTATCTGGGCCCACTCAATAGTACTTAGTAAGCCTGAATGCAAGAGCTGTTCGGACTCCAGAACCTATGTTGTAGACAAAAGATCAAGTACGAATAGTCGGAGTATCCTTGCATAAGTGGGGTTATAGAAGTACGTACAAGGCGTTGTATCATAAAAGTAGCTAAAAAGAAAAAACTTGAGAAAGCAACAACATTCACAGAAATCGCTCCAACAATGGCAGCCAGAAAGCCAAGAACGGCAAGAGCCCGAGAATCGAATCCTAGCCCAAGGCTAAGGGTTGAGGGCTTAGGGCCGACCAAACACATCTGCTGGCCAAGGGGCAAGGAAACATTAGACTTTCTGCTCGAGGCCGGGTGTGCTGGACGCGCGAAGCTCTGGGTTAAGGGCCTATGGTTTGGGCTGAGGGCATAGGGTTTAGGGTTTCAGGGTTTGGGGGCTTAGGAAAATCATGCAAGATACTGGACAGCAGAGTATTAACCTTCAACAAAGCAGGACAGTGTGGAAATGGGGTCTAGGGCTTCCCCAAATCCGAAAGCTTTTGGGGTATAGGAGGCTCCGAAACTTGGGTTTCGGAAGGTTTGTCTGCGGCCTTGTGTTGCTTTGGGGTGCGGTGTTGTCGGGTTTTGGTCGTGGGGGCTTTCGATGTTCTGCGCGTACGGGGGTGGCTTCGGGTTTGGGGCCTGCCCCAAAGTCAAGTAGAGGAACTTAGCACAAAGCACCCTTGGAATTTGAGCCTAAGCCCGAAAAATTAGGAGCTTAACCCTAAGTGCTTATCTGCAGTCTTTTTTTGCTTCTGAGTCCTAAGCAAAAGCCAAGCCGCAAATACATCAGAAACCGCTTGGGGAACTGTTTAGGGAGCCGAGAACTTAGTCCAAAGGGTTGGGGGGGCGCTAAGAATCAAGGCGACACTTTTTCGAGGCCCGGAAGGAACATCATCCTCACCCCTCGGACTAAACCCTAAACCCTAAACGGGGCTTTCTAGACGCGGAGTGCAGACGGAAAAAGGGCCCTTAAAAACAAAAAAAACCGGAGTTCAGGGTTTAGGGGTTTAGACTTGAGGATTTCGCAGTGGAGGGGATTCGGGGTTCAGAGTTTATAAACCTTAGACCCTAAACCCTAAACCCTAAACCCCTAAAGCCCTAAGGGTTTAGAGTTTATAAACCCTAAACCTTAAACCCTAAACCCCTAAAGCCCCAAGGGTTCAGGGTAAGTGCAAGCAAGTTGCTTCAGGCCGGGGCGGACGTGAACGTGTCCAACCTGCCTCTCGCCTGGATGGTGGCTGACACCTAAACTGGGATGCCCAGTAGTACCCGTATTCCCTTTTTGTAGTCCTAGGTTCCTTATAAAGTTACCCAATACCAAAAAGAGAGGCCTTTATATTCTTAGGTTACTGGGTATCCTAGGACACCTAAACCCTCTCACATTTGGGTAATATAGGGCCTTAATAATTAGAATAGGGTTTTGGGGGTATATTATACTATGATTATCAGAATAAGGAACCCCCACAATAGTCCCACAATATTGGCAATTTAAGCCCCCATAGTAACATTTTCCGGTTTTTGGGTACAGCAACCCACTACGGAATGGACATACTGTCACAACCGAGAACTTATAAACCCTAAAGTCGGAGACCCAGCGGAAAACCGCTGTGCGGATCACTCATTGCGAGACGGCAACATCCCACAAAAACCCCATGCCCTAAGCCCTGAACAGTTTGTAGTGCATGCTCTCCAAGGACTCACCAATATCGGTATATCGTAGGACCTACATGCGGGTTTCCGCAAACAGGGGACCCTAATATAGTACCCTAAATAGTAGGATCCTTATTACAAGGACCCCACAATAAGATACCCCCAATTTTCGGAAACTCCCACATTAACAGCCCACTCCGCCTTCGGATCTCTATGTAATGGTAGGGTTCGGGGGCTCTGTTCGTAACACAGTAGTTAGGGTCTTGGGTTTAGGGTTTTTTTGTTACGGTTTTGGGTTTAGGGTTTTTTTGTTAGGGTTTAGGGTTTAGGGTTTGGGGTTTAGGGATATTTTGCTACTGGTCATCAAATTCCCTGCTTTATGTTGTGTAGCAACATTGCAACGGAAAGAAACAGACCCCTGAACCCTAAACCCTAAACCTTGGGTACGGCCCCCACTCAGTAATAGTTGATAGATATATATATATATATATATATATATATATATTCATAGTATAGATATAGTAGGACCTTCATGGTAGCCCTATTATAGACCCTTACTGTATGGGGGCAGTACCTAA